ACACACACACACACACACACACACACACACACACACACACACACACACACACACACACACACACACACACCAGGTAACAAGAAACAAGTGCACACACATGTCTTCCTATCTTCACAAGAACTTTCAATTGCTGGGTTTCAGTCACGAGGTTTTGAAAGGCGGAGCGATCTCCGCTGGAGAGCAGGGGGTAAAATGTCAATGGAGGAAACCACTGTAGAGAGTCTTTATTGTATGGATTTAGGTCCAATTTCAAGATATATAACAACAATTTGTTCACAAATAAGTCAGACATGACTCGTATGATGAAGATGAATGAGTTTTCGACAGAACCTAAAGATTTACTGAGGCTGTCGGTATCACACACGTATTACATCACCAAGTGCCAAAYAATAACCAGCAAAAGTTTATCTGATGAATAATTCCACACAATTCTGCCCAACTGTATAACAACATATGATAACACTGATTATCATACACAAAGATGAAAAATGTAGAAAGCTCTCAGAATGATAACGTAAAAAGTGGATTTTAAACCGTCGGCGGTCGGGAGGAGCAGAATGCCCCWGGTGCCTGCAGCCATCACTTAATTCAGAGGTATGTTAGCTGCTAACTTGTTTTAGAGGTTATGCTTATAATGATCGTTTTATCAGGCTTTCACTAGAAGGTCTACGTGAGCAAATACCAAAAGACAACACTGGAGACAGAGGCTTGAATAAGAAAAGTAATTTGTTTATTTACACAGGAGCTGTAGGGGGAGCGGGACCTGGAAGCAGAGGAGTTGCAGAGGTAAGTAAACGGATAAGTGAATCCAGGAAATACTCTTCGATAGATAATAGCGTTATGCTTACAGGTGAGGGCTTTGGGTTTTGCKCAGAGGAGCAGGTCCAGARTCCAAAATCCAAACGTGAGTATTTACAAGTGAGTGTCTTATTTACAGGTGAGTAGGAGGCGAAGAGGCAGCGCATAGGCAGGTGAGAGGCTCGGCTGGCAGGCAGACGTGATTGGGATCCAAAGGTTTCCAAGACGGTTTMCTTAATTCTGCAGACAGGTAAATACACGGAAAAAACACGGAGGTTAGATAAACCAAGTTCACGAGAGAGAGTCACAGGYTGAGTTCRTTRCCCAAAGCGGTATGATGCTTCAGCGACGAGTTGATCCTCAGGTCTTCCTTATAAAGCCAGCAGYAATGAGCCAGTTCCTCACAGGTGCGTTCAATCAGCGTTGCCAGGTACGCRGGGAGGCATGAGGTGAAAATCATCAAAATGCCTCATGTTTATTTAGTAGAGAGTATTAAGTTACTGGTAGTTTAATGTGGACCTCATCTGGACTTTGGGCTGCCCTAGTTCTGTGTCATTAGGTGCTGAATGTTTGTTGACRTTAGCCGCTACTGCTAGCATTATCTTAACATATAAAACAATATCAGAAAAAAACACTCCCCCTGGCAAAAAACAAACGATAATCATCGTGGAGCTGTTTGGTACCGAGGTTGTGGATCCACCCGCTGAATAAAAAGTTCTACACCTCCCATTGTTTACATGCTTTCATCAGCTGTTCGGTGTAGTTAGCATCCAGTTAGCGTTGCACCGTCTGCCCTGGCAGACCGGTAACAGGACCGTAGAGTCCGCTCGGTGCTCGATCCTCTTCTCTTGCCTCTTATAATTGAAACAGTGAATCACCTACTTCTTCATCAAAGTCCTCACTCTGTCTCCGGCTGTTTTCCCTCCATTTCTGCCTTTGTGCTCCTCTCTCAAACTGCGGCTCGATCCGACTCGGTCCACCTGTCCTCAGCTGGACTGGAGCTCCACGTTCATCGCCTTTTTTTTTAAATCAAAGACACTAAAATAACTTACTAAACTTCACCGTAACTATGAAATATAGTTATACAAATATAATAAATGTAATAAATTTCGGATATCTCATTGCTGACTTCCGATTGCGCTGTCTCTACATTACAATCGAACTTTATTCAACTTCCGCTTCTTTTTATTTTTATCCTCCTGTGGATTTTTTGCCGTTTAATATTTTCAGGCTTCAGTCAGAAAAAAAAAGAAAGGAGTTTGGRGGGTTTATGTTTGTTCGGCGGGGTGGGGGTGACACCAGAGGGTGGAATGAGGTGTTTTTCTGCAATGAATCAGCTCTCTTTTACACCCTCCTGCTGCAACATGCTTCAAATATGATGGACATTAATAAAAAGAGCCATAATTTAATTTAATTTAATATATACAGCGGGTAAAACAAGTACTGAACACGTCACCATTTTTCTCAGTAAATATATTACTAGAGG